AATATAAATGAACATCCTCCGTCATGCTATGCACGCATGATAACTAAAGAGGAATGGAAAACTTTTGTGGAAAAACGTACTGGCGTTTCGTTCCAGTTAAGCATTACATATTTTAACAAATGAGTGATATTTGATGCATATTTTGAAATGATTAAAATGTATTGACCAGGAAATAAGCAATCAAAATCGACAAAGAGCATCAAATCCAATGGATCCATATAGAGCTTCACGTATGGGATATGCACGACTTGAGCAAAAAATGGTAGAGTCCATTAATACACACACACACACTTATATAAATCGGCGTTTGTGTTTATATGATTATGTCTTTTTATGTTTGTTTATAATGCTCTATTAGTGACGATATATCTTGAATACTGTAATATATAGATAAAAGAGTCTGCATTGGAGGTTAAACGTCTTCCGTGTCACAAGGTGTGGAAAGCTGCTCGTGTCAACAAAGAGGGAATTATTGAAAATGAAAATGTCCAAAAAGTTTGGAACGAATGTGTGAGTTTCATGATCTTTTTCTTATTTACGTTAATAGTTAAAATATGATAATAATAATACTGATGACGATATAAAGGTTTGTATATTATTTTTTATCTTTTAGGAGAACCTTGCACAATGCCTATCAGACGAGGATGTAGAAAGAAATGTCCATTTGGATATACTTTCTAAGGCTATAAATGGCAAAGAGTATCCTGGCCGCATTAGGGGGATTGGATTTGGGGTGTCCCAAAAAAATTGTTTTCCTCCAAAAAAACGTGTCAAACATGATGAAGTGCAAAGTTTAAAAAATGATCTAAAAGCGGTTATGGAGCGGCTTCAAGAAATGGAAAAGAAAGTTTATGATAGCAAGGTAAAAGAGACACAACCTGATTTGTCTGGCTTTAAAGGCACCGAGAATTGCGCTCCAAGTGATAGTGACAATATTCATGAGGTAGTTGGTAACATGATATTCCACTTTTATCTTTTATGTTATTTTACCCTTTTTCCTCTATTTTATCCATCTATGTATTTTTTTCTTCATATATTTTTGGTTTATTGATTTGAAGCATATGTCCGCTTCTTCTCTTTTATTCCATAGTCAAATGAATATTTTTTTAGTTGATACAATTAAAAATAAAATATGTTGTAGATCCCAGACAACCCGAAACGTATTGGCAAGCAGACTGAGAAAACAAAGTATGTTGTCACCTTGGATAAAAGTCAAGAAAAAAATGCTAATCATAATGCTGTGGATGCTGATGTTGGGGTATACAGTAAAGCAAACTTTTATGTGAGCTTTTGGATTGTATTTCTTC